CATTGAAACTGTCTAATTTGTACCTTTAGATTTTCAGTTTACATAGTTTACATCATAGCTTCCTCAAGAAACTGTCATGTGTTGACCACATTCCATAAAGAACTATAAGGAACAGACTGTATCCAGTCAGAAACCCATGACAATATAGCTCATACTCTGTCTTCTAAGATGGGCAGATCACTCTGGAGCTGGGAATCATGTTGGGAATATTGATCTGTCCATTCAATGTAGCTGATGCTTAGGAACATGAAGAATCATGTAGTCTACTGATGTTTTCTGTCAGCTTAGCAGCTGCACTTGCATCTATTAATGTTTTAATTACCATTTGTGGCCCCATGACTCCACAGTCAGTGCCCTCCTGGCCACTCAGGCCATGGCCTGGAGGGACTTCCAGTCTCGCCGCCCTGGCTCTGCCGCAGCCATGATACACAGGTTTAAACTAAGTCTGTATCATTCTTTTTACCAACAAAGACTCAGAAGTCAGATGTGGTGGTGAAAACCTGCTAGTTCAGAGAGGCCAAGAAGCATCCAGCTGGCCTTCCTTTTTGCCTGGAGACCCAGCAAGAGAGACATCACTCCACTCATCCCAAACCCAAAAGAAGCATGAAACTCCAAGCGCCCATCCTCCTCCTTCCCGTGTGTCTCTCTATCCATATTCCTGGCTCCTCTAGACTCTTTATGGCTAATTCAGGTCAACTAGTTGCTGGCTCTGCCACCCCCAGCCAAGGTTGATTTTATTTAATTAACACAAATGCAAACTCAGGGTTCACAGTGTGATCCGATATCCCATAACAATCTACAGTAATTTCCTCCTTTGAGACTCAGGAAGTAAACAAGCTTCAAATGTCTAGGAAGCTGGAAGAAGATTCACAAGGACCCCTCCCCCCAGGGAATGGAAGAAATGACTGCTGGAAGAAGAGACTCTAATCGGCCACGTTTCAGAGAGGCTTGACTTATTGGGCTATGGGTAGACTATAGAGACAATTCCAGGGTAGAAGCTTTCATGACCCATCACCCATGCTGGGGTGGGGTCTTCTTTTTTTTTAAAAAAAAATATTTGTTTGTCTATCTATCTATTTATTTATTTTGTATTCCAGCTGCAGTTCCCCCTTCCTCCTCTCCTCCCAGTCCCTCTCCTCCACCCCACTCTGTTCTTACCCCCAATCCTCTCCTCCCCCATTTCTGTTTAGAAAAGGGCAGGTCTCTCAGAGACAGTCCCTCTTCCTACTGTTAGGAATCCCACTAGAGGACCAAGCTACACAACTGTAACATATATGCAGAGTGCCTAGGTCAGTCCCATGGAGGCTCCCTGGTAGTCAATTCATTGTCTGTGAGCTCCTATGAGTCCAGGTTAGTTGATTCTATGAATTTTCTTGTGGTATCCTTGACCTTTCTGGCTCCTATACTCCTTTCTCCTCCTCTTCTCCAGGAGTCCCTGAACTCCGCCTAACGGCTGTGGGTCTATATCTGTTTCTGTCAGTTTTTAGATGATGTCTTTCTGATGACAATTGGGCTAGGCACCAATCTGGTCACAGGAGATGGCCACTCCAGGCTATGTATCTGCTATTTCTAGGATTCTTAGCTGGAGCCATCCTTGTAGATCCCTGGGAGATTTTCTTGCACCAGATTTTTACCTGACCTTGAAATACCCACCCCCCCCCCATTTCCAGTAGTTTCTTTCAGTACTCTCCCTCTCCATTTCCTGTCCCCAAACTGATCACTCTTGTTTCCATCCCCACACACCCTCAGTTTGCTCACGAAATCTCTTCTATTTCCCCTTCCCAGGGAGATCTGTGTGCCCCCCTCCCATGAACCCTCCTTATTACCTGGTCTCTCTGGGTCTGTGGACTGTAGCATGATTATCCTTTACTTTACAGCTAGCATTCACTTATGAGTGAGTACATACCATGTTTGTCTTTCTGAGTCTGGATTACCTCACTCTGGATGATTTCTTTCTAGTTCTATTCATTTACCTTCAAAATTCCAGGTGTCCTTGTTTTTAACAGCTGAGTAACACTCCATTGTATAAATGTACCACATTTTCTTTATCCATTCCTCAGTTGAGGGCTATCTAGGTTGTTTCCAGGTTCTGGCTATTATAAATAAAGCTGCTATGAACATAGTTAAGCAAGTGTCCTCATGGTATGATTGAGCTTCCTTTGGGTATAGGCCCAAGAGCAGTATAGCTGGATCTTGTGGTAAATTGATTTACAGTTTTCTGAGAAACTGTCACACTGACTTCCAAAGTGGCTGTACAAGTTTGCACTCCCACCAGCAGTGAAGGAGTGTTCCCCTTACTCCACATCCTCTCCAGCATGAGCTGTCTCTTGTGTTTTTGATCTTAGCCATTCTGACAGGTGTAAGATGGAATCTCAGAGTCATTTTGATTTGCATTTCCCAAATGGCTAAGGATGTTGAACATCTCCATAAGTGTTTCTCATCCATTTGAGATTCTTCTATTGAGAATTCTGTTTAGATCTATACCCTATTTTTGATTGAATTATTTGGTTTGTTGATATGTCGTTTCTAAATAAGCTTGATCCCAGAGATGCAGGGATGGTTCAACACATGAAAATCTGTCAGCATAATCCACCAGATAAACAAAAGAATACAACAACAACAACAACAACACATGATCATCTTGTTAGATGCTTAGAAAGCCTTTAACAAAATCCAAAGTTCCTTCATGATAAAAGTCTTGGAAAGACCAGAGATACAAGGGACATACCTAAACATACTAAAAGCAATATACAGCAAGCTTATTGCCAGCATCAAATTAAATGGAGAGAAACTCAAGGTAATTCCACTAAAATCAGGAACAAGACAAGGTTGTCCACTCTCTCCAAACCTATTCAATATAGTACTTGGAGTTCTAGCTAGAGCAATAAGACAACTGAAGGAAATCAAAGGCATACAAATTGGAAAGGAAGAAGTCAAAGTATCACTATTCACAGATGATATGATGGTATACATAAGAGGCCCCCAAAACTCTACTGGAGTGAGGTTTTCAAGGATGCAACTGCCTTTGAGAATCTTGCTCCAATAGGTTACTCTTCACCCATACTCCTTTAAGTAACTCTAGTAAACTCAGGGGTCCTCCAAGTCAAACTTTGATGTAGTTGTTACTTTGATCTTTTCTAGGTTCCTTTTCAAGAATGAGTATCTGTGTGTGTATGTGTGCACATGTATGATGTTTTCCCAGGAAAAAATATCATATACAACACAGGTCCCTGGAACTTTGGAGCTTACAAAGAAAGGCAATATTCAAATATAATAAATCCTTGGTTGCTATTCTCTTTATTTATAGAAGTCCTGCATCTGTGTCTCCGGACTTTGTATCTGCTGTAGTTTGAAGATGAAATGCTCCCCCATTGACCCCTGTATTTGATCATCTGATCTCCAGCTGCTGGTACTGAACTGGGAGGTTGTGGAACCTGTAGGGGGTGGAGACTTACAAGAGGAAGTGGGTTGGATAGTTTGGCCCCACTTCCTATGTGTGCTTTGCTTCCTGACTTCAAATGCTTTGTGACCAACTTCTCACATTTCTGTGATGACTATACACTTCCTGCCATGATGGACTATATGACTTCAAACTGTAAATCAAACTGGACCTTGTCAAGTGTTTGGCCACAACAGTGGCAATAATACAGTGTTTGACCAGTTTTCCACTCCTGTATTTCATTTCTTTCTGTCATAGGGAGGGGAGAGAAGAAGGAAAAGTCCAGCTTTGTCAGATTTTTTTTTTAAAGATTTATTTATTATGTATACAATGTTCTGTCTGCATGTATGCCTGCATGACAGAAGAGGGCACCAGATCTCATTACAGATGGTTGTGAGCCACCATGTGGTTGCTGGGAATTGAACTCAGGACCTCTGGAAGAACAGTCGGTGCTCTTAACCACTGAGCCATCTCTCCAGCCCGTGCTTTGTCAGGTTTTGACAAAGTCCCCATGGCTGCTAACTGGGCTGCTATTTTTCTCTCCATGCTTCATAATGAAGCAGATATTATATACAAAACTTTAAATGCCATTTAATTATACCTTCTTGCAGGATTAAACGATGTGGAAGTTGTGTCTATTCTTTCAAATAATCTAGGACTCTTATTTTGAAAAATGGCCCCAGCATCCTCTGACTAATTGTCATGGCAACAAGTTTTAATATTGAGACTACTTCTCTTCTCCTGGGCACTGTTCCAGCATTGGCTACCCCAGAACATCTTCAGATAACCTACCTCATCTTTCCCACCTCTTCCCTGTCTTTTCTGGTTCTTACTGTTTTTCTGAGACAGGCATTCCTATAGACCAAACCGGCCTCTAACTCCCTAGGTATCAGAGGATGAACTAGGGTTTCTGGTCCTCCTAACTGTTGGGATTATGGGATGCACCACTCTACCCAGTTTATAGTCCTGAGGGTAGGATGCGGGGTTTTTAATGCTAGGAAAACACCCTATTCACTGAGCTACAACCCTACCTCATCACTCCTTTTCATTAACAAGGAGCTAAACTGCTTTACCTCGACCTGCTGGATCATTTGCCTCCAAGATCTTACTCAACAGAATGAGACTTTGACTTTCTGTTCTTCTCTAAATCAACAGCAAATAGATACTTCATGGAATTGAAAATAACTGAAACCAAATGTCTATGCAATGTACCATGATGAGAGGAGGGACTGGTGTGCAGGCACCACCCTTGTCACGCCATGTGACCACCCTTGTCACACCATGTGGGGTACTGTCTCTTACTCTCACACCCTATGGTGTCCTGTATCCTAATTTTCATAGACTCTTCACTCTCTTTTGTTAAGATTGTGAATTCCAGGTGGGGATAGTCTAACAGAAAAACCAATTTGAGTTTCCAGTTGTGATGATGATGATGACAATGATTGATGATGATGATGGTGGTGGTGGTGGTGGTGGTGGTGGTGGTGGTGGTGGTGGTGGGATGTGTGTGTGTGTGTGTGTGTGTGTGTGTGTGTGTGTGTGTGTGTGTGTGTGTGTTTTGAGACAGAGTTTCTCTGTATTTTCCTGGCCATCCTAGAATTTGCTCTGTATATTCCAAAAAGCATTCTCACAGACACACTCAGACGGGGCTGAGTGGACAATCAGCCATGTCTCCCATCCTCACCCTTCCAGAATAGCAATTCTATTTTAACATTTGAGTTCTACAAGGGATGTCCTTTCCCAGAAGATGAGGTGACCATGTTAATGTCAGGCAATGAGTATAAGGGCAGGCTATTTCCCAGGGATTTTAGAAGGCTCCCATATGGAATACTGACCTGGCTGGCTTTCGTTCTTCATCATTGGCTTCTGTCTGTGGGCTGTCTATTCTGATTACCATTCGCTGTAACCAAGCTGGAAAAGCACAGAGAAATCCCTATGTCCCCTGGGCTGCCATCAAGGAACGCTTTATAACACAACTAGAAAATCCCACCCCAGCCTTTGTCTTGGAGATTTCTGCTACACAAACCTAGCATGGGCTTTCTGGTGGATGGCACTCATAGCCCATCACAGCCTCTGTGGATAATGATGGAGGGGAACAGACCTCCAGGAAGTCTCCATCCCTCAGCTATGTCCACTGGTCCTGGCTGACCTAGCACCTGCATCGAGAGGCTTTTTGAAATCGAGGGGTCTCCCTGGCACTGGGAGCAGGAGCCCACTACACACCCTCTCCATAGAGAACTCAGAATGAAGGCTTCTTTAATGGGAAGGTAAATGGCAGTCTCAAGCTTCCTATATTTAGCCTTTCCTGAGAGTAGCTATTTCAGGCTATGTGTGAATGGAAGCAGGCAGCCTGGATTGGGAGTGTGGAAAGAAGCAGTAAAAATGTGACCTAAAAAAGACAGATCCCAGCAGAGCAATCCCAGACCACGTGTTTCAGATGAGTCCTCATTGATTAGTGGAAAGCCCAGCCTGCCTTGCAGACAGAAAAGGAAAGGAATGCTTGGGTTTGGCTGGTGCGTGACTGGCAGGGGCCATCTCCAGCTTCCTTCCGCCTGGAACAGCTTTCTCCAGAGAATGGTGCGTATGGAGGGCTCACTCTGGGACAGCACAGTGCTAAGTCGTGTAAGTGTTTGTGGGCCTCATTCAACCCAAAGCGATGATTCCTAATTTCCAACCATGGTTGAGGGGACTAGCAAATCAGTCCACCCCAATCACATCTCTCGCGTTCTCTCTCTCCACCTGTGAAGGCCGCACAGCCTCCACAGAAAGCAACGGCCCTGCTCCAAAGACACTGCCAAGCTCATTTACTCAAAGGTGATTAGAAAAAAATGTCAATTAAGAGGAGTCTTCAATTCTTTTAGTGTTCTGGGTAATTTAATTCCCTGCTTAGCTTAATTAAGCTCTAGCCAGTAAAACTTTTCCACTAAAACATTCCATGTATGTATGTATACATATATATGTGTATCTCAAATCATTCTTGATTTGTGAACCCAGTTTTTCTCTGATTAAGTCACCAATGGTATCTGGAGATGACTGGTGTGAAAATAGTGTCTTGTCATCTGGGAACACATGCTGATATATATATATGCATATATATATACATATATGTATATATATATGTATATATATGTGTATATATATATACATATATATATATATGTATATATATATACTTCTACTAATTAAGGCAGCAAGAACATCTCTTGCTGCTGCTGCAGTGGGATGTTCCTGAGTCTCAAGACCTTTGTAGCACTTCATCTGCTCAGGAAGTCTTGTAAGCAGCAGCCAGCATATCCTTTCACTCTGGAGAATCGAGGGACCTGCTCGTTGTGATTCCCTCAAGAGATAGGAAGAGCTGAATAAAGTAACCATAACTATGAGATGGGTAGGGAAAGCAGACAGGAATTGAAGGGAAAGCAGACAGGAATTGAAGGGAATGGTGTGCAGACAGCATGGCCAGAAAGCTGTTCCAAGGACTTCAAAATGGTAAAGTGTCTGTGGTTTTCTCCATGCACAGGTCAGATTTTGCACTGCAGACATTCCAACAGTATGTAGTCCTCAGCAGGGTTTCGCTTGCTTCCACTGAAGGCTCATATGTGACAAGCCAGCCCCCAGAGCTTTGTGGACATCATTTAACGAACCTCATGCCCGCCTTGCAGGTTCTGGTAAGCCCCATTCTGCAGAACCACAGAGAGTGTAAACTAACCATTGTCACTCAGTCAGTGGCAGAGTCAGGACTGCCATTTCTGGTCTGTTTCCTGATTTTTTTTAAATGGGTTTTATTTCACAGTCTGTGGAGTAAGAAGAATGAGGAGGGGGCAGGAACCAAGCCCAGGAACAAATACCGGGGGGTTTGTCCTTATTTAAATGCCTGAAGGGAGGGGGTGTGCAGAATTGAAAAAGAAAAAAGACTTTGCCTTCCTTGCTGTTTCTTCGTGTCTTACTCCACCCCCAACCCCCTCCCCTGTCCTTGCCTGGGGCATCTGCTTCATTTCCACCCAGGGACAGGAACAATGAGGGAAATGGCCTAGGAAACATCCAGGCAGGCTTCTGTTTCTATCCAAGATGTGCTTAGAGCCCGCAATCCTCCAAGGTCATATGGCTGCAGCTGGCAGAGCAGCTGGTCCATACCATGCCAGCCAGATTAACCCTTAAAAAGTGAAAGCAAGGAGCTGAGCAGAAGGTTCAGTCAGCAAAGTGCAAAGACCCGAGTTCAGATCCTCAGACACCCCCACAAAAACCCAGGTGTGCACGGTGGAACACAGAAACACACCTGGAATCTGATTTCATAGCCCTCTATGTCATAGTGTGTGTGGCTTAAGTGTCTCTCTGGAAAAAAAAAAAATCCCTCCCATTTGGAACTCATCTGTTTAAACTTGAAAACATTAACTTACATTCATTCTGTTTTAAAAAAGAGATCGTGAGGCAGAAGGGAGAGTTTACTTGTTAATATGGGTGCCGTGCAAACATGAGACCCTGAATCTGAACCCAGAACCCGTGGTTTTTGTTTTGTTTTTTAAAAAGCTGGGCCGAGTAATACGGAGGTGGAGACAGGCTGATCCTTGGGGCTCCTTAGCCAGCTAGGGAAACTGACAATCCCCAGGTTCCAGTAATAGGCATTGTCTCAGAAAACAAGGTGGTTGGCTCCTGAGACAACACCTACACTTGGCCTCTGGCCTCCATAGCACCCCCACACACACATGCACATACACATACACAAAATAAAAACCCAAACCTCTTTCCAGCCAGAGTGTCATTACTGAGCTTTATTGTAACTGGTTCCATGGGTTGAGTCCATCACTGCAGCTAGGACCTTGTATGAGGTGATCTTCGTAACCATAGAATATGTCAGACATAACCAAGTACAGAACCGGAATAGCACGTGCCTGGTGTGGGAGCATGTGCCAGCGTCTCACACGCCAATGATCACTCTCTGCAGGTATTTGATTGACACAAGGTCTTTGTGGGCTACTGAATCCCAGGATGTGGCTTGTAGGAGTTCCACATGCTCCCTTGGCTATGGTATTTCCAGTCGGCTTATGTAGAAGCAACACTTTACAAACTTGGGGCAGGGAGGAATATCACAGCGCAATTTTAAAATATTTAATACATTGTTTTTTGTTCTACAAAGAATGAGCAGTTCTCAAATATTACAAATAGTGAAACAGATATACTAGCTTGTGGATATATAGAGATAGATATATACAATTTACTACTTTATACTTCAAAAGTGCAGGAAGATAAATTACATAATATATATAATTTTAGATCTAGTGGACAATTGGATATTGCTCTTTGTTGGACTAGATGCATTGGATGCATGCCCATGGCTTGTCACTGAATGGAGAGGGAACTAGTGGGGGTTAGGGAACTCATGGAGTCCCGTGCTTAACCCCAGAGTGCCATCTTCAAAGCAATATTTCAAGTTTTATCATGAGCTGGGGCTGGGTCAGAAGTTTCCAGTCCCGTGTGCAACATGGGATGTTACCAAGAATCTCAGCTTTATAACTTGGAATGGGACCAAAGCAAAGCTGAAAGCCGTTGGCCCAGTGGTACTGCATCCTCAGCTCCTGAGGCAGAGGGGAGTTTGCAAAAGGTGATGTTGGGATAGCCACCCAATGCTCAGCTCAATCTCTAGAAAGCAGTGTTGGAATGAAGCCCATGAGGGAGGCCTTACCGACCTCCCACCCTCTAAACTCACAGGCGGAACAGAAAGGAACAAAGACTTATAATGGATAACCACGAGAGTCTCATGTCGATGAAGCCTGAAATACTTAGGAATGTGGGAACTGACGGAAAGAGCAGAAAGAACCCTGACAGGTGGTCACTGGGAGTAGGGAAGCTTGTAGCAATGTCCCATATAAACTGGTTACCATCAGTGGGAGAGACGGGATTTTCCTAACTGTGAAGGGATCGCCACAAATATATATATATATATATATATATATCATGTCAACCATGGAGCCATGGTCTTTCCTTCACTAATCCCACACCTCAATGGCAAGGTGATACACTTTCTCTGAGAACAGAAATAGAAAGAAATAGAACAACACATTAAAAACATTCCAGAACACTCCACAGCTCGATCTTCCTGTGATTGGCAATGGCTTGTGGGAACATAAAGAGCCAATAGAAGAAGTTCAGAGGGGGCCTACAATGGGCACAAGTGCTTTGAGCTCATGGCTGATTCCTGGGCTTCCTCATTTCTCAGTGCAGCTGCTTGCCCAGGTCTGCAAGGATTTTGTTCTAGAAGTCCACAGAAATAGTAAGATCACTGAGCCATATGGTTTTCTGAGGGACCTTCCCAACCCTCAGCATATCACCAAGGTGAGTTATGATTGACCGAGCAGAGTGGGCCAGGCCAAAGAGACTGCATTATAGAGGTCTGAAGGAAACAAAGGTGTCTGAACACAGTGTGCTCTGGAGGCATAGACGGAACAAGAGGCCTACCACAACACACCGGCATTGGGAGCTCCGCACAGTGGCCATAGGCCACTGCATAGGACCTCACAGTGCTGCAGCTTCCTCTGCCTGCTGACTGGGCAGCGGTCAGATGGCTAAGAGAATGGTCAAGCTAGCACCCAAGGCCAGCATGGGTTTGTCCTAGCAGGTGAAACAGGAGCTCCTTCTCATTGGCTGTGGGAGTAGGAATTGTCAAGAATCAAAAGCCAGCCAGACTCCAGGATGGCAGGCAAACTGGACTAAGCTGAGAGCACTGTGCCCAGAAAAGAGAGAGCAGCCTATCTGCAGCTGCCGTGGCCTCCGATGCCTCAAGCAGTGGCTGATTTGTTCTGAAGAACCCAGGGTACACGCACAGTCATTGGGAAGAATTCATTCTAGGGTGCACACTGCACTGAAGAACTTAAGGACATTTAGCAAGGGACGAGGAAAAAAATTTACTGTTGACTAAATGCATTTTCTAGCAATCTACTCCCAAAGTAGATAAATTGTTAAAAACACAGTGAATGACGTCTGTTTCAAAGTATTTCATTAAGGTGCAGCGCATAGCATCTGCATGCTCGTGTCATTTAGAAAAATGGGTGTGCTTCTGGTTATTAGATGCTCTTGGTTGGCTGTTTTGCAGCTGGGTACACATGGAGTTATTTAAGACAAGAAAACCATCTTAGGGGAGGGGAAGGTGGGAGTCTAAAAAATGCCTACTTTATTTGCTTTTATTTAAAAATCTGAGGGCTGGGAGAAGTGGCAACCCTCGGAGGTCAAAAGAAAGTTCACGTTTCTAGGACCCTCAAAGTATCACACACACACACACACACACACACACACACACACACACACACACATACACGGGGGCGTTATTGCGATGTTTGCATGATGTCACAACGTCCTGACTCAAAGACTGGAGAAGGGCTAACACAACATCATGCCACATGTGGCCTCGTACTGCATGTGAAGTGTACACTCCTAACAGGCGGTCACAGCACATGTAAGAAGGCTCTGAGGAAGTGAGAGCATCTCCTCAGTGTGTGCCAGGAGGAACAGCGTGAGCATCGTTTGGAGGGGCTATGGTATTTTATCTTTAATCCCACTAAAAATGCATTAACAGGAACCACCAGGGTCCTTTGACTGCCTGCTCCTCCCCCAAAGAGGTTAGTGGCTTCTGAACTAAGTTTTCCTGGTATGGGATGGTACCAGCAGCTATGGGCTAACCTGCTGTCACACACACATGCATTACACAGTACTCTCAGTTTCTCCTATGTCCACAGCTCTGAGTCCCCTCGCCTTCAGGTGGCTAAAGCCCACTCAGGACTGGCCTCGGTTTCTGGGAATGCTGAGAGCATTGCAGATTCTGCAACTCCTGAGGGGTGGGCTGGTGGGGTGTATGGAATGCCTCTTGAGGACATTGCAGGGTGTGTCACAGCCAAATGCAATGTTTAACACATGGGCATCAGACATGCTGCCCTGACACGGTGGGGCTCACAGGGGGAGGAAGAGAGAGGCCCTAAGGGCAGCGACTCCTTCTAATGAAAGCCTCTCACATGACCACACACTTGCCCTTGAGTTTCTCCTTCCTCTTCTGCTGCTTGCTCTTCTTGCCATCGATCTGGAGACTCACGGTCCTGCGCTTCTCCAGGTTGAGCAGTTCCTGGAAGAGTTCCTTGACGTTGTGGTTGAGCTTGGCCGACGTCTCCATGAAAGCACACTTCCACGTGCGTGCCAGGGCCTCCGCCTCGCTGCTCTGCACCTCCCGGTTGGGGCTCTCGTCACACTTGTTCCCCACCAGCATGATGGGGATGCTCTCCACGTCCCCCTTGATCTCACAGATTTGCTCATAGATGGGCTTGAGTTCCTCCAGGGACTGCCGGCTGGTGATGGAGTAGACCAGGATGAAGGCATGGCCTTTGGAGATGGACAGCCGCTGCATGGCAGGGAACTGGTGGCTCCCAGTGGTGTCAGTGATCTGCAGTGTGCATATGCTCTTGTCGCAGCTGATCACCTGCCGGTAGGTGTCTTCCACAGTTGGAATGTAGCTCTCCCGGAAGGTCCCTTTCACAAACCTCAAGACGAGGGAGCTCTTGCCGACACCACCTGCCCCAAACACCGCCACCCGGTAGTCATTGCTCTGTTCCGGCATGTTGCTTCAGAACTCCAAGCTACTGACCAGGAGGTACCTAGCAAAGAAGCAGACATTAAGAGAGTTAATTTGAAAATCCCCAAAGCATGGTTTTGCCTGATTTTGCTAAAGAACATCAGGTAGTGACGTTTATGTTCACAATCCCCACCTAAAAACCATTCCAGATTCCATTTACCTACTTCCACAATTCAAAATTCAAACTCCCTTGACTAGTCCTCAGTTTCCCAGAGGGCAGCCAAGCCACTTTGTAGCTAACGAGAGTCAGTCCATTCTTCTGTATTGACCTTGACTTTGAGCATGTTCGCTAACGCATAGGCCTTTTGCCCAGGAAGAAGAGAGAGTCGAGTCGGCCTAAGACAGGTAGGCTGAAGGCAGACCATGGGGGATGCGTGCCTGACACACGGGCCACAAGCCTCAGTGTACAAAGTCCTCACAGCTGCACCAGAGGAACTGCAAACACAGCATGCTAGGCCTAAGAACAAGGTGTGATGGGACTGGGGGGATGGCGGCTTGGTGTGTGAAGCGCTTGCTGCTCACACGTGAGAACCTGAATTCAGATCCCCAGTCCCCATGCAAACATTAGGCCTAGTGGCATAGCTCTGTGACTCCGGCCCTGGATGGGGTGGGGGTGGGGACGGGTAGACCCATGAAGCTCCCTGACCAGCTAGCCCTTCTGAATGTGTGAGCTCCAGGTTCAATGAGACACTGTCAACATGAGAGAGAGACAGAGACAGAGACAGAGATAGACAGAGAGGAAGAGAGACAGAGAGGGAGAGAGAGAGAGGAGACAGAGACAGACAGACAGAGACAGAGACAGAGATACAGAGAGAAACAGAGAGAGACAGAGACAGAGAGTGAGACAGAGAGGAAGAGAGAGACAGACAGAAAGACAGAGAGATAGAGAGAGAGGAAGAGAGAGAGAGGGAAAGACAGAGAGAGGGAGACAGACAGAGAGAGGAAGAGAGAGGCAGAGAGAGACAGGAAGAGAGACAGAGAGACAGGAAGAGAGACAGAGAGAGGAGAGAGACAGAGAGGGAGAGAGGAGAGAGATGGAGAGGGAGAGAGAGACAGAGACAGAGACAGGAAGAGAGACAGAGAGGGAGAGAGAGAGAGAGAGAGAGAGAGAGAGAGAGAGAGTTGGCCATGCTCCAGTTGATGGCCCCACATTCATGTGTATATGCATAGCAAAGATTGGACTCAACAGAGTGAAAATAAAGTGGACAAGAAGTCGGAAACAGGGGATAAGGCAGGATTCAGAGGAGTTCCGGTGGGGAAGACACATGATTGAGATGAACTGTATACATGTATGAAGTGCTCAAAGAATAAACTAAAAATTGTAAGTAAATGAGATGGAAAGTGGAAGAGAAAGATGCCCAGTGTCAAACTCCAGCCACCACATGTATGCACACATGTGCATGTACACTCTAACGAATGTGTGCACAAATATGTACACAATGTATACAACACACACACACACACACACACACACACACACACACACCCCTGGTCTACTTCCTTTCCAAATTCTGGGAGGAATAAATAGGCAAAAGGAAAGCTCTCATCATGTAGTGTTGAATATTACTAGTGTTTCTATCAGTCCGTGAAATCCTCCACCTCTTAGACAAGTTGAGGCCATTACCATTGTTGAATAGTGACCACAATAGAAACAAGGGACCAGGAATTCTATGTCCCCAACACCATATACCATGGAGGGACATCATGGACATCCACAGGTTGCCATAGGCAGGCTTGGCCACCTTGTCTTGGGTATCACTCAACTCACAGTATAGACTGCTGTCTTCTGGGTAGGAAGACTTAAACATTAACTAATGAGTCTGAATGTTTTAGTCATCAAGTCTAAAACAAGTATATGCTTTATGTCTTAAAAATCATAAGTAATTGGCATTATGAGTACGGTAATACAAGGTATGTATTATTACTAAGATTGCATCCAGTGAACGTTTCCTTCCCAGCAAGCATTACCCACTAGTATAAAAGGTGTGCAAACGTACTTTCTTTGGGGCTAGAGAAATGGCTCTGTGGTTAAAAGCACATTCCGCTCTTGCAAAGGACCCAAGGTTCTCAGCACCTTTGTCTAGCAGCTCACAACTGCCTGTAACTCCAACTCCAGGTGGTCTGACACCTGCTTCTTTACTCCATGGGCCCCTGTAATCACATGCACAGACTAACACATAGACACACACACAGAATCAAAAACACATACTCTAAAATATTTTTAAATGTACTTTCTTCATTTACAAACTATCAAATACCTTCCTTCCATGCCTTCTTAGACAAAGAACGGCACATCAACACAAAAGCACAGAAAATTTAGCCACATTTTTTAAACTGAAACTGACATTAGACATGGGCGTACGCGGCCAGCAGCCTATTGTTGTGCAGGCAAACAGCATGCTAACTTTCCACTTCCTCAGTTTTTGAGTAACTAAGGAACAGTAGTAGCAAGTATTGCTGACCAGAATAATTTCCAGAGTCCAGTAGAAGCTGTTAACTGAAGGTGATATAGGCAGGAAATGGTTTTGCACCAGAGAACAGCAGATCCACCTTCTGACTTTGTCCGGCACATTTGCTTACAAACTGACTAAGCTAAGTTTTCAGTATTCTGGAATGTGCCGGCATATGCCAAACAACCGATTCAGTTAAGTTGTCCGTTTCTGTGGCATACACTGGAACACACCAAACAACTGACTAAACATCGATGCTAAAAGAGAAAACAGGAAGATGCCAGGCCATTAATTAATGGAAGTCTGTTCAGGAGTTTGATTAAGTCTATTAGATGTTCATGAGATAATTAAGACCAATCTAGGCATGCAGCATTATAACAAATTGCCCTGCAATTCAGACTGAAAAACAAAATCAGTGGCATCTGGAATCTGATTTGTAATGTCCCTTTGCAGCCTCAGTGTGGGAGGCTGTGACTGCTGGGAAGGCTGTGTCCTCACTGACTTTGGTCTAGTATTATAGCTGTTTAGCTCTAGCTTGAATGGAAAGACCCGTCTATAGGGTAACATGCCATTAGATCTGAGCCTTAATGTTGCCAAAAGAGTCCTCGGCCCACAGCACAGGAGTTTGAAGAGTGAGCTAACATGTGGTGTCTGGTACTGTGCTGTCTCCATAATTCAGCGGCCTCAGAAGCAACACCACACATGCCAGCACCCATAGCTACCTAAGCATATCTGTCTAGAGAAATACCTGCCGTGAGAGTTCAGGAAGCTGCTGTGTCTGCAAGGATCTGATACAGGCTCCTGCCTATCTGGTGGGACTCAGACAGAAATAGAGAACTCCACAATTCTTCATTAAAGTACAAGCATGTACTTGATGGAGGAGAGAGATCTGGAGGAGCTGAATGAAGGGTGGGCTGTGAGGAGCTGTTTTCCTCTCGCAGTGCAGAAGCATGAACCTGGAAAGAGTCAGGTACTCAAGGGGTGTGAAGTTCAACAGGAGAGAGGTCTGAGGCAATAACTCCATCCCCAGCTTCAAATGTAAGGGCTCCAACCTGAGCTGTAAACAATAGTGTTCCACCTAAAAACCATTTATCTACTCCATATCAACGAAATACATACCCCCATAGACACTTCTAACTTGGCATTTACCCAAAAGGACCCTTGAGCAGTCTGGGGCCACAAAGCACAAGAGTGGATTCAGTATGGCCCACACAGCA